ACAGAAAGGGAACATCCTTGGGGTCTGAAGTCACTCCCAACAAATGAATTATTCTCATCTGTCTTTCCTATATTTTTTTCCACTTCCTCTGAAGTGCTACATGCTGGGAAAAAAAAAGGATGAGAGGGATTATTAATTTGACTTTATACAGCAAATTATATCCTTTTAAGCCCTGCCACAAGGCTAAGTATGCATGAAAAAGAGGTGAGAAATAAAATATTCATAGTGTACACCTTTACAGAGAGTTGAAGGAGCATCAAGTAGCCTTCTTTCAGGAAACTGGTCTGAACTAGGGCAAAAGATCATTTCAGAGCATATTAACTTTACAAGATGTTCATTTTTTGAGCATCATTGCTACCACTGGATGACTTCTGATGCTGACAGAAAGCTGCCTCTGTTCTCTTCTTCAATCTGGAACATGCTGGAGAGCAAAGCACTGGTTTTCAGTTCCTATGCCGAGGACTAATAAGACACACTCTCAAAGTCTCTTTTTTATTTTTACATATCTTGCTGACTGTGGCCAGGGCTGACTCAAAGCTTCTCAGCAGTCTGAGTACAAAACCTGAATTGTATTTAGAGCCCATCCGCTGTGATGATAGTGTACCAGCATATAGCCAGTCCTCTGCTTTAGCCTTCCTCTTTGAGTACCAGCGAGGCAGAAATGGGTTGGTTCCTGAGGGAGCCCAAAAGTGCTTTTCTCTCTGGATGACTGGCTGCAATGCTGCTGTCTGCAGCCCTGTACAATTTTCTGTTTTGCCTCTGTCTTCTTTCGGGCTTTGGTCCAAGAGTTATGTAGCTCTGAATGGCTATATATCTCAAAGCAGCACAGGGACCTGTTCTAGCATTCTTAGTTGACCATTATAATACATATAAAGAAAACATGTCTGGGCTAGGCTATTAAATATTAACTTATGGCTCACCTGTTTAGCCATGCGACTACTTTGTTTCTTTTCCATATGCTCTATGTCTGATGTCATGTGCTAAATGCTTATTTACCAGTCATTACCTTCTGAATCACCTACAATGAGTTCCTTCTTCGCTTTCCACTTTAGTAAAAGCTGAAAACGTTTATTTAGCCATTTTCACTTGGCTGTTATGCAATAATTGGTGTTCATGTGGCCCTTTGAAAACATAACCTAGCTGTTATAGGGATACAGGAAACTCCAGATTTTGCTTTTTATTCAGTCATATCTTTATTCAGTCATACAAGCAGAGTGTAGAGCATCAATACTCTGACTCTCTAGAATTATAAGGAAGAGATTCTTTCCTGTGAGGGTGGTGAGGCACTGGCAGCTGTGGCTGCCCCATCCCTGGCAGGCTGGATGGATGGGACTTTGAGCAACCTGGTCTAGTGGAAGGTGTCCCTGCCCATGGCAGGGGGATTGGAACTGAATAATCTATAAAGTCCTTTCCAACTCCAACATTCCATAATTCTATAGAAGTGCATGTTTGTTTCAGGGTGTCTTCAAATCCAGTTCGGTTTTGCAGAATAACTGATAATTTTCCTTTGTGGTGGAATTTTTCAACAAAACTTTTAAAACTGAAAGATTATAATTTTAAATTCATTATGATTGAGCTTAATGGAGTATCTGAACTTCTGTATTGATTTTGAGAGAAGAGTTGTGACATGTTCACAGAAAATATTCACTGTTAACATCAGTAACTGTTATCATTTTATTTAGAAGGGAGAGCATTGTAGAGAGCCTTCTATATAGGTTTATAGCATATGATAAATTTGTCACTTCTGGATATGCTTTTCATTTTTTCTCCCCCCCCCACACACACACACACAAAAAGGAATAATTATGAGCCCTCTTCCTAGGAGTGCTGCAGTGAGCATTTCACTTGAACTTTTTTGCAACTGTGGTAGTCTTAAAACTACTCTGTTACTTCCAAATGAAGAAACCTAAACCCAGAACTTTCAAAACTTCTCCATAGAGCACAAATAATAAAGGAACTGATTCCTTTTTTTTTTACAAAGTTGTGGTTTCATGCACACTTGAGTGGCACATGTAGTGCAATAATTGTACATTCCCCTTTAGCCAAATAGTTTGCTCCTGAGCACTCCAGATGAGTCAACTTTTCATGCTTTTAATACTCTATTGCATTTTTCACAATAACTTCTTGCACAATAGTACCTGTAAAAGTTGTCTGGAAACATACAGCCTCCAGCACTAAGGAGTTAAACAGTCTTGGCTGTAAAATTACCTTTTGTTTTCAGTAGCAGTTCCTACCAGGTAACATAACATTGCTAAAAAAAAGAAAAGACGGGTTTGTGCTTCGGAAGTTAAAATATTAAGTTTCTGAAGTTAAAAGATGAGAAAACTCCCTCTGCTGGTTTGAGGAAGCAGCAGATACATTTCCTTTTAAAAGAAACTCAAAGTGTGGGAAAATACTCGTTCAGCACACACAGTGTTTTTCCCTCACTTGCGTAGTGGAGAGTAAATCTGCTTATTCCTCAGAATGAGTTAGAGACAAAATATAGGAAGAGCAGTTGTGTAAGTAAAAACTGTATCAAAATATAGATTTTCAAGGAGGGGGCAAGTTGAGCTTTGCACACTAACATTTAATCCTGTTATTTCTTTTAACTGTTTGGGAGGGTGGAGGTTGAAGTATTTTAAGAAGCAAATCCAACTTTGGCTTTGTTTTCTTCCTGTCCCCATACAGACACTATGTTATGCAGCACCTTAACAGCTATGCAGGGCCAGAACTTTCGCAAATACAGCACAGCTCCCTCCATCCAGGTCAAGAGCAGCACTCATAGTCTTTCTTGCAGCTTATTGTTAGAGGAGAATGAGATATCGTGTCACTACAGATAGCTGATGATACTTGGGGTGCCACTTTTCAGGCTACTGAAAGGATCATACACTAGTGCCCTGTTTTTCAAACTGGGGAGTGTGGGTCAGTGATGATTTATGAGAACTTAGGAGCTAGTCTGCAAAATAATTGAAAATGGCTTTATAAACTAACTACACTTGCATTCTTACCCATCAAGAAAGCAAGCAGCTGAAATGAGGGAAATAATACAAACACTGGAAGTTTATCCTGATTTTATTTGCCTTTACCTGGAAATTGTTGTGGCAACACTACAAAAATTGTTTGTTGTTTATTGGTTAAGTTCTTGGTTGAAAAGGTTGAGGAAAATGAGCTAGTGGAAACAAATTCCTCTGTCCTTTGTTTCAAGTTTAACCCCTCTCGATCTATTTATTTCCTCAATTAGTATCAACCTCTAATCAATCTCATTCTTTTCTCATAATTCTAGCCTTGACTAGCACATACTGTTTTTTTCCCTTGCTTTATTCCTTTGCCTAATGCCGGAAACTCTTATGCCTTACTCCTTTTTGCTGGGCTGAGCACAAGACAGGGAGCCAGGACAAATTTCAGTTCTGTGGCCCCATTTTGTTGTATAAAAGTGTGGGACCCAGTGGTGATTAAAACATTATTGTAGGCGACACCTTGTCCAATACTAAATACTTTTAAAGTCCTGATTGAAGAAAAACAGAAATGTCACTTCTGTTGCACATGGATAAAATAAGGGACTTGTAACTGTTGAATCGTTAAAGAAAAGAACTGGAGAAGAGGGAGAGGTATCTGAAATTTGGGCTAAGTATAGGCAACAATTAATCATGTTTCTGCCATAAGGCCATTATAACTGTAGCCTGAAAGCATAGTTACCTACCGTGATGCAGCTATTATGTTTATTCTTTGACATCTCTTCTGATGATTCAATTTGTTTATACTGAGCTCTTACAACTAATTAATTCAAAGCTTCAAACAGCAGGGAGTTTGTGGAGAAACTCCATCCGCATTGTGCTGGTAAAAAACATTTCATGTCGTCATTAATGGTATAACCATCTGTGTAACCATACATGTAGTTTTAAAGATACTCTATTTGATTTAAATACAGGGGACTTTTCGTCTCCACAGCTTGCTTGTAGTACATCACACTACTTAAGAAGAAGCAGAAGAAAAAGCAAATTGTACTTTTCACTAACATAATTGTTTGGGTTTCTTTTTTTTTTTTATTGTAATAAGCAGTCATCTTCCTGCTTCCCTTTTAGGTACATTTGGTATTTTGCATTTGTATTAAGTCCCTTTGGCAGCCACTCTTTGGGATTTCCTTATATTAACATCTAGCACAAAGAAATCTCATCTTCAGGGTCCAATGGGCTAATGGTTTCCTTCGGCATCTGAATAAATCAACAGCTGTGGCCTTCAGCCATTTTGTCTTACCAAAATAAGAGTAACGGAAAAATGGCTTGTTGTTGTAACAGTTCTCACACATGCTCCGGGAGGGGGATAAGAAGCCTTTTCTTTGCACAGATGACTTCACAGAAAATGTACAGTATTAGCAATGTCATTTTCCCCTCACTCCATCAGTAACAGCAATGTAGTCCAAAATGCAATCATCTAAAGACACAAAGTTTGCTCAAAAGGTAGTAAGTTTTATTAAAACATTTGATACATCATCATGAATACTTCAATCATTGTAATGCACGTGCATTATATATTAGGGTGCATTTCTGTGCCACAGGTAAGTCCATGGTGTCAACTGTAATTGCTCTTATATGCAGTGGAAGTCACTGATACCTGTACAGCCCATTTGTGCTGCAAGTGTGCTGCCAAAAGCAGCTGAGTCACTGTCATGGCAATCGGGAAGTGTCACGCTTTGCTACTGAACTTCTTTTTCTGGCTCTCGCTAGTTCTAGTGCTCATCCGATGGTTTTGCTCAGTCAGTTCACCTTCCAGATCCAGCAGGAAACTTTTAAATCAGGGAATTGTCAGGTCTTCAGAGCAGTTTGGACTTGTAGTTAAACTGTGTTCAACTGTAACTTTAAGAATTTCAAATAAAAACAGTCTGTCACCAAAAAGACTGCCCAGGTGCAGAAACTATGCACGTGTTACTTGCATTCAGGGAGCTATTTTGAGTATGATTGCCTTGGGGGCTTTTTGTGGGTTTGTTGTGATGTTGGGGTTTTTTTAATGAAAGTACAGCAAGCCCCATGACATGAAGACACAATATTCTCTGTAGTGATCTGTGACAGGGGACTCCTAAAGCCTTTTGGAGAAAGGATATGGAGTTATCTGTATGTTTACGTTTTCCTGTAGTAATTTTTCTAAGCTGACACACAGTGAGTAGTGCATTTTCATCAATATCACAACCTTAGACAGGTCAAGACAAAGGACTGCAAACATACTTGTCTGTTGCTTCATGCTTTAAGCTTAACACAATGCCTCTTGTCTCTTCATTCCCAAACAATGTGAGATTGTCATTAATTTTCTTGAAACTGGTGGCCTTTTTGTGAGTGCTGCTCAGCCGCTTTTGAGTTTATAAATAGCATTCCCAAGGGGCAGTCTGTACATCTGTGGAATCGCCACAGTTGTCCAAATACCCACTGTTTAGAAAATTCTATAATAAAATATTATTTCTCCTGACAATTACACACCCTAACCTTCAGTTATACTAACTGAACAATAGGATGTGTTGCCATACTCTGTAGATTCTCCTGTAAGGTGTATAAGTATTTCCAGCAAGCTACTAAGCCTTACAAGAAAGTTGGTTTCCTGCATTTTCAATTCTAAAAGTTATCAAGTAAATTACAGCTGACAAAACCATTAGGCATTACTGCAGAGAAAATATTGCCCAGATCAAGGTAGGACACACATTTCTCCCTCCCCACCTGCAGACAAACCAAACTTGGTCAATTTTGGTTGTTACAAAAGTCAGAATTTTGATTGGATTTAATAAATATGAAATATTTTCAGTTAGAAGCGTTAGTTCTTGTCTTACTAAGGTACTCGTGACTGTGAAGAAGGGCCCCTTGGCAGAGCTTTGAGGCTTTCACTGATTATTTTTTTGTTGTCATGCAGAGTAAGAACTTAGATATTTATCTACATTCCTGCAGGCTTGTATATCCTCTCCCTTGGGGCATTGATGCCTGCTGCCAGCAATGCACATTAGGTTTTCTAGACAGACAGCAAGTTCAGCCTAACAACAGGCTGAGCACTTCAGAAGCACCTGATAACTTTATATTTTCCCTCCTTTAAAGAAGTCAAAGTTTATTCATTTTACCAGAGCATATTCCCACAAAAACAGCATGAGTTTCCTGTTTCATTCACTGACTACAAGTGGAAATTTTTACTCTTATTTCCCTTTTTACAGTTATCAACATTTCAGCCTGAAGGAGGAAAAGCAGTTTTTATTCTGCTTGCAGAGATAATGAAGTTAGAAACACAAACAGAAGGTTGGATTTATGTCTTGACAAGTAAAATGTTTTTCAGTTCCCATTCTAGTTGGGGCAGTGAGATGAGTTTATTTCTACTTTTCCGGATTAAGTTGCAAAGAATTGTAGGCTTTTAGTGTGCAGTCAGAGGAAAGTATTACAGATTAATTACCTAGAATAGTTTGTTGCATAGTTTGGACTTGCATTTGCCCACCTGGAAGTGCACAGGGGGGATGTGTGACAGAAAAGGGAAGTGTGCTCCAGCAATGGTATCTGTGTTGCCAAATGTATATCACCAAATGCACTCACAAACCTGAGTGTTTTTCTAAGGAAGCAACATTTAGCTATCTAATCAGCTGCTGTGTGAGTTAATTAACCATAGACATGAGCATGGATAATTCATACTTTTCCTACCAAAAGTAGGCACCCTCCCCAAAACACCCACTCAGACAACAGTGCAAACACGATGTTTTATATTCTTTTTCACTTCTCCATCTGTGTTATTTCTATCCCAGTTTACTTGAAATGTCAGTATCCCTTCTTGAATATAATTAATTCTTATGACTTGGCCTTTCACATTAAATTCTTTCCTTTTTAGAAATTCCAGTTTATAATTGTTCCAGAGTTCCTGCTGTACTCAGGAACTCCCAGTCTCTCTTCATGACCTTTTGTCACAAACAAGAGCAAAACCAATAGTTTTGTTTAAACTCACCGGTCTGTTAAAAGACCATATTTTTTTTCTGAGAAAGCACTTGGAAAACAGGATCTGTCTGATATAATGACAGGTGGTAACATCAGATTGGTCAGAGGCAGTTTCCCATCTCAGCCATTTTCTACACCAATTAATCACAAATCTCTCATGGGAAATCAAAATTCCAAAGCTTATTCCAATTTGAAAATACAGTATTTCTTGCAATTAATGTTCCAGAAAACACTTGCTTCTGGAAACAAAAAGTGGTTTAAATATCCTACGTTTTTCTTTCAGTGTTTATATTTATCTCAAGGCATGTCAGTAATGACCAGATTCAGTGAGTTTAGTCCTCTTAAACAGTTCTCTGACACCCCAGGTGACTGATCCATTTTCTTCTCAGTGCGTGAAAAATCCAAGTGCCAAAACCTCAGTGGTTTTAATTCTTGCCAATTACCATTACAGTGGTGTTATACTGGAACATTTTGTTACTCTAGAGCTAGTGGCCAAAAGGAATGCAGGAATACCCATGCATGAAATTCACCCTTGTTATAATATTGAGAAAAGAGCTAATGTAATTCTAGAAAAGTGCAGCATGATACAGTTGATGTACCCAGACATTTCAGTCACTGACTGGAATATTCTTTTGAATTTTAAGATAAAGAGTGAAGCTCGTTTCACCCTATTTTAGCTGGATGTTTCAGTTACTCTGCTGATGCAGATTCATTTGATAATCTTTGGAAAGAAAGAAGCAGGCACTGATTGGAAACAGTTCATCAGATCCTAAAATAAGTGCCTAAGATATGAGTGATAAAAACCCTGGAGAGGTGCCAGCATCTTTCTGGTGGCTGTAGAGAGAATCCATACAACTAGCATAGACTTTGATGACTAAATTTTGATAAAGTGATGGATGGATTACATGGATACATACTCCTCTTACAGTATGTCTGTATTATTTTCCCCTTTACATTCTACTAGTAAAATGTTTCCCTTGCAAACAAAATCAACAGTGCATTTTGGACAATCTAGAATTAGATTTAGTTCGTGTTTCTGGAGATTGCTTCATATACCCAAAAAAGTGAGACAAGGCCTAGACACAGCTGCTTAAAGGGGAAGTCTTGAAGTGGAAAGTAATAAAATACTGGTCTAATCCAATTATGCTCTTACTATTTTTGAGCCTCTTGGGGTGAAAGATAACCATTCAAACTGCAAGGTCCTGCACTGGTCCTGCATTTAAGCCAATGGTGAGGGGTTGTTCTAAAGGAAAGGTGTTGAAGAGAAAAATCAGAGTATACTCACTAACATGATGCAGCCATAAAAATGACAAATGTGGTTCTTCAGTTTATCAGGAGAGGTGTTTCCTTTATGCTGATGCCATTATTTAACTAGTAAGACCTACTCATGAAAAAAAGAATGCAAAGCCATTCAAGAAAAGTAAATTCAACTTGAAATAGGTATGGAAAAGGTCCATTTGAACCACACTGGAGTGTGAGCAGTCTAAAAGAGCTTGTTTAGACTCACAAAAAAAAAAAAAAAGACTGAGAAGGGGGATATTTGTTCCCTGTAAATGCAGATCTGAGGGAGAGGAAATTACTACAGTTTACAAGCAGCACTGCTCAGAATTGGTGGATGCAATATGGTGGTAGTTGTGCTTACACTGGGATTCGGAAAGGAAATATTACTGCAGAGCATAGCCATGATATTCTGAAACAACATTCACACAGAGGTTGGAGAGAAGTTACATTAAAGGTTCCCAGGATGAATCTTGCTCATTTTATGTAATGGATTATTATTATGCTGTTTGCTTTACTAGCAGGAAAAAGGATTTTGCCACATTACTTCCTAAGGTCATGTATATACACGCACATGTATATATAATGTATTTTTGTGTGTATGCGTACATGTGCTGTATGTACATATACATCTATCACAGAATCATAGAGTGGTTTGCGTTGGAAGGGACCTTAAAGCTCATCCAGTTCCAACCCCCTGCCACACGCAGGGACACCTTCCACTAGACCAGGCTGCCCAAAGCCATGTCCAACCTGGCCTTGAACACTGCCAGGGATGGGGCAGCCACAGATTTTCTAAGCAACCTGTGCCAGGGCCTCACCGAAAAGAATTTGTTCCTAATGTCTAATCTAAATCTGTCTCTTTCATCTTGAACGCATTCCCCCTTGTCCTGTCACTATATTCCTTTGTTAAAAGTCCCTCTCCAGCTTTCTTGGCAGCCCCTTTACGTACCAGAATGCTGCTATAAAGTCTCCTCTTCAGGCTGAAAACCCCCAACTCTCTCAGCCTATATATTTATTTTCAAAAATTCTATACACGAGACAAGTTCTTACCATTCCATGGGAAGCAGAGTGCAAAGGCACCTATATATGTTTATAGGCTGGTACAGTGCTTTGCAGAGCATGGACTTCACAATTACCATTTTGCCTTTGACATCCAGATATTCAGGAGTGACTGCAAAATAGCACACAGATGCCAGAGCAGTCTTAGCATCACCAAGTCTGTGTACTGGTGACAGCAGCCAATATTAAGATCACAATGAGCTAGGTAGCTCTACTGTCTCCAGTGGGTCATCATGGTCACATTTGCACTCCATGTCTCTCTTTTTCAGGATGAACAGTCTTCAGACTGGAGAAGGGCATCCCTAAAGGGGCAGGCAGAGGTGCAGACATACAGTAATAAAGAATGAAACTATCTCTCCTTCCCTGAAAAAAAAAGAAGACTGAAATAAAGAACTGAAATCTTGTATAAGCTTTGGCTGTGCTCCCATACATGAATCAGGTGAGTTACCATGCCAGCCCAGAAGTGCTTAAACAGTTCTATCTCACAGCTGCTGATTAACCTGCATAGTCTAGCAGCAAAGTGAGAGGTACCATACAGAAGCCAGACCCTTGAACTGTCACCACTTGTGCAAGCTGGTGGCCTGGAGTATCTGTTTCTGTGAGGCTGTCAATCCAGCATCTGTCACAAGCATCTAGTTCTAGTGAGGAAACAAAGGGAAGCCTGAGTGATACATCTTCCAGCTGCAATCCCAAAGAAGTGTCATAGGAGGGCAATAGAATGCCTCTTCTGCAATGAATGAGTGGGTATTATTACAAGGCACATAAAATATGCACAAGGTTGAATTTCACCTCTACCAAAGACAGCAGACACCAAATGTGTTTAACTGAAGGAAGCTCTGCAGTTTTGCTCTTGAAGGTCCTTGAAGAAAGCCGTAGTAGGATGTCATGGCTACATGTGATAACAGTGTTGTAACTTCCATTAGACATGATAATGAATGCGACGTAGTAATCTCAATTCTTCTATACTCCCATGCTGTATTTTCAGAGAGTGAGACAGAAAAAAAACAAGAGGCATGACATCATTTTTGCGTGGTAACCTCATGCCTTAGAACAGAAGATCCTTTTTCTTTCCATTTACTTATTTTTCTAAGTACAACAGCACTGCCCTATGCAGTTCACCATCTCCTATTCCTCTACTTTGTCTCCTTTCATGTGTATTTGTTGGGGTATTTTTAATAGAGCTTATTCTCCCTTGGCCTGCACCACTTTTTCTCCTAATCCTCACCTCCACAGACTATTTATTCTTGTTTAAATTATTTATTAATTTTATTTAATTCTGTAAGGCCATTTGCAAAAGAGATGGTATTTAATCCACAGGTTTGTTCTGTATATCTCACTTGTTTGTAGAGGATGTTGATAATCTTCTTTGTAATAGGCTTTAAGATGAGGATTGTAACTGCATGATCTTTGAAGTCCCTTCCAACCCAAACCATTCTATGATTCCATAGTACTTGTTTCTGGAGAACTAGCTATATACCTGTTGCCTTAAAAACTGAAATCATGTCCCTAAAGCAGTTATAAAAGTCACAAATATATTTTAGTTGCCTCTGGTTTTGCCTGCCTAATTTGTTATTTTATAAATCACCTAGGTTTCATATAGTAACTTCCACAGCTGACTTAAGACAGTTTGGACATCAGAGCCCAGTCTGATCAAAGCAGCAGAAGGTCAATACCAGAGCAGGAGAGTAAGAAGTCCATGGCCTGGGAAGGCAGATTACCTCCAGGCACAGAGGTAAACCTGAGAGAAGATTAAAAGATAGGAGCCTGAAGTTAGAGGGAGAAGGCTGATAAGGAGTTGTAGGCAATACAGCACACACAGGCCAGGCAAACAAATGTCTTTTCCAGGAAATGAGCACAAGCATTCAGGAGGAAACTTGCCTCATACATAGTCTTTGTATCAGATACATCTGACCTAAACCTCTGAGCTGTAAGCCTAATGATTGAGTTCTAAGGGAGAAGGGGAACCCCATGCAGAAATCATTAAGAGGATGGCTGCTCAGAAGAAGGGAGCAAACAGCTGGAATCTGGTAGCAGGAAAGGGACATGGGGAATAGATTAGCAGGAAACAGACCTAGGGGGATAGATAAAGTCATGTTTGAGGCAGGCATCTGAAAGATACTGGATTTTAATTTAAATTTTTCATATATGGAGCATATATAGTAAAAAAGCCCACAAAACACAATCCCAGTCCTGTGAAAGAGAGAAATTACACAGTTACTATAACATAAGAAAAACCTGAGCGAATCAATCAAGCCAAAACAGGCCTGAAGTGACTGGTCTGTCTGATCTCTCACATAGCTTGTAGCTTTAGTCCATGAAAGTACATACTAAAAACAGAGAACAAAGGAACCATAGTTAAGAGAATCCTTTGGGAAAATTTGGTCTTGGGGAGGAGATCACCGATGAAGGGGAATAATGGTCAAAAAAGGGACAGCTTGCTAGAGAAGCCAGAAGAGAGAAGGTGCTCAGGGTGGCAGAAGGACAGTTCAGACTTGAGGCATCAGCTTTTTTATACTGGGAGGAGAGGCAAGGCTCACAGGCTGCCAGTGTGGGGTGTTAGTCCTGGAGGCACAAACCAGCCTCCAGTTTGTTTGCCATGAAATTATAGAGGAAAACTTCAAGTTGGTTTACTTTGTTTATTGCTTGACATTGTAGGTGTACCCAGTCATTACATGCTATTGTGTTTATCTTTTCTTCACTTTTAATAAGCTACTACCATTCTAAACACTTGACTCATTATTGTGATAGGAAAGGAAATTTTCCCAGGTGTCTGGGCTGGGACTTAAACCAATCTTCACAACAGACCTTCAGAGATCATCAAAGCCGGCACTTATGGCTGCCAGCCCTTATGGCTGCCAACCAGGGTCTTCCAATAGTATTGCAGAAAAGCTCACAGTACTTACTGATTTGGCTGTTGTCAAAAGGCTGTAGCTGTGCTAAGCGCTGTGGGAGCAACACCTGTCCCCAAAAAACTTTGAGTCCAAATTTTGGGAAATTACCTGGGGCCACAATTCTGCCCAGGACCAAAAATATTCCAAGAAGTACAAGGAAACAGTGCTAATTCAGCCCAATCAGAGAACCAAAAGGACTTAATGAATAAGAGGGATCCAGCCACAGGCAGATTTTAGAAAAGCAAAGTTTAGCCCAGTAGGATCTGGAGGCTGTAGGCTTCTCCTTCAACACATAAACCAACAGCCTCAGAGTGCAGTTCTTGCAAAGCCTAGGAACGTTATTTCCCTATGACAGTGTATCGTTTTTTCTGACAAAGCTTCTTTTGTGTCCCTGTGGTTTTTCTACAACAGATATTTATAGAAACTGTAGTCACAAAGCTGCCAAAAGCACTTCCTGTAAATTACATAAAGCGTCTGTCTCCCTTCCAGTATCACGAGGACCTACTCACAAACTTCCCATTACTTTTGAGACCTTTATTTTGCAAGACAGAAGAGCTCTGACTGTTACCATATGCTATATATGTGCTCAAAGAAAACACTGCTGATCAGAGAGGACTGAGGCAGACAGTAACAGGCAGAGAGTAACTGGAATAGTGACAGTGTTCATGTTGTCACAGGTGTTTTTCTTGGTGGGTTTTTTCAGATCTATAAAATGTTTTCCTGAACAGATTTTTCCTCTGAAGATGCTTAGTCAGATTCACCAGCATGCCCTGTACTGTGCTGCTGATGTGACCCCGGGCAGAAGTGCCTGTGACTGTAACCTCTCTTTAGTATCTATCAAAATGGTGTATGCTCCCTCCTCACCCAGTATCTTCACTGTAAAGGAGATGCACATTTCCGCCAGTTAGATCTGGGCTATGTTCACCTTTATGGGTGAGGAGACCCTTGTGTATTCCCAGCAACATGAGGTAGTTTAAAATACACAACACTTTGAAATAAAGCTAATTTGCCTGGGTTAATTTTACATCCAAGTGAGCATAAAATGGTTGATTATAGTGTTCGAGAGGAAAACATGAGATTAAAGAATTGATCTAATCTGCATTGTAGTTAGGAAGAAAACATCCACTTATTTTAGTGGGAATGAGTTTGGGCCTAAATGTGCACGTTTCTTGGAGTTCAAAGGAAAATGAGATCCAAGCAAAAGGTATAAAAAATGTGGAGAGCATGTTGCATAGTAAACAATCCCATGAGCTCATGCTGTGTCCTTTCTTTGCCTGCCTTTGATGCTGGGGCTCCCATTTTATTCATACAGACTTGATCCTGCCGCCTTTGAATTTAGTGGAAAAATCTCTCACTGACTTTGTGCAAAACCTGGCTTTATGTACTTACATGGCTTTTATAAGGAATGAAATACTTTTGTACTTTTGTACTTTCATTGTGTGATAGGATCCTGAACTCCCCCAGTGGAGGAAGGAAACAACCAGGGCTGTATGACTTACACCAGCTTTCAGCTCCAGGCAGGCCCAGGGACTGCAGAGGACCCACACCCCCATTTTCCATCTGCTGTCCTTTTTCCTGTCTTCAGCAAAATGCCAAAGCAGACAAGAGCAATGGTGCAAAAAGACATTAGTGGGGGCCCAAGTACAGGAAGGTACAAAGGAAAGATGGAAGGAGAGGGCTGTATGGAGGGATATAGAACTGTAGGATCATAGAATAACAGTTTGGGTTGAAAGGAACCTTAAAGATCACCTAATTCCTGCCATGGGCAGGGACACCTTCCACTAGACCAGGTTGATCAAAGCCCTGTTCAACCATGCCTTGAACAGGTTGGGCCATCCACCGCTTCTCTTAGAAGCCCATTACAGGGGCTCACCACCCGCACAGTGAAGAATTTCTGTCTAATACCTAAACTAAATCTCCTCTCTGTCAGTTTAAAGCCATTGCCCCTTCTACTGTCACTACAGATCTTTGTAAAAAGCCCCTCTCCATATCTCTTGTCAGCCCCTTTAGGCGCTGGAAGCTGCTGTAAGGTCTCCCTGGAGCCTTCTTTTCTCTAGGCTGAACAAGCCATAGCAGAGGTGCTCCAGCCCTCTGAGCATCTTTCTGGCCACCTCTGGCCTTGCTCAAAAAACTCCGAGCCCCTCTTATGTGGAGGGCCCCAGAGCTGGATGCAGTACTGCAGGTGACATCTCATGAGAGTGGAGTGGAGGGGCAGGATCACCTCCCTTGACCTGCTGGTCACCCTCCTTTTGATGCAGCCCAGGATATATTGGCTTCTGCGCTGCAGATTCACATTGCTGGGTCATGTTCAGTTTCTTGTCAACCGACATGCTCAAGGCTCTGCTCCTTTCAGTTCAGTCTCTGCCCAGCTTATATCTGTGCTTGCAACCCAGGCTCCTGCCAGCAGCCACCTGCAATGGTAGCCTCCACCAGATGAGCAATCACTTTTATAAGATTCTGGGGCAACGATTAACAGAGGATAAAATCCTGCTGAGGCCACTTACTAAGTGACATTGGTCCTAGTCTGTACAGCTCATTTTTTGAGTAAGATTTACAGCACTATAGCAAGGGTTAGGAAGTGCCAGTGGAGACTGTCATGTCCCAGCCCTGGCCGTTGTTGTCCCACAGCACATGGAAAGGTCCTGGCTGTGGAGTGAGCAGAAGGCTGCAGGCTCCAGGGAATAGAGACCGATAGTGGAGGGCATTCAGTGGGAGGGGAGCAGAGGGGCTGTGAGCATTACACAGCTCATTATGGCTTTGGGATTTCCTGGCAACATCACACTGTTCTTAATTTAGTTTGGAATCAAGGTGATTTCCCAACACAATGTTTTGCTCTTAAAACCTCTCCCTTAACTCCCCTTGTGTTAATTTATTAACAAATTAGGGTGTTTTCTGTAGCATATGAAGCCACTTGCATTCACAACTGCACAACAGTGGTTTAAAAATAGTAGCAAGTAATTTAATAGCTCAAACACAGGGTGTCTACTTGGAGAATAAACGTCTCCAATGTTAGCTCAGCTCTTCAAACAAACTAATAATTGCTTCCAGAGGTAAAATATTTGTAAGCTATTACTACAGCGCTCTTTCACTACAGGGAAGGAAACACACTTTTCTCTTTGAAGCAGGCAAATGGCAACAGAGAAAGTTGTGCTCCATAACTAGGCTTCAAGAACCGTCAGGTACCTGTATCTCTGACAGCTCAACATTAAAACCATATAGGCAGAGCATTCATCCATGCTGCTGTTTCCCAAGCTACCCAAAAGAGGTTGCAAATTTGTTAATTAATTTCTGAAAAACACCGTGTTTCTGTCTCTGAAAGCAGATAGCCCAGGGAGATGTAAAATGTCTTGAACAGCGAACACAAGCCTGCAAGTGATTTAATGGTCTGAATATTGCATATTCTTCAAAAGCAGTGGAAGAGGAGGGAAATGGAAGTGTCAGTCAGCTCCTGTCTTCACACAAAGATGTGTTTTTTCTTCAAGTGGCTGTTTCACTTCAAAGTATCTGATCCTACAACTGCTAAAACTGAAAGTCAGTGAAGCTGCTTCTTCATGCCAGGGCAGGTTGGTCTGGGGACTGTCTGAAAATAACAGAGGTAGCACATTGCTTTCCAGAGATTTCTTTACGGTTATCCAGTACAACATGTCACTGGCTCTTGTTTACAGAAACATCCCTCATTCTAACAACAGCGGCATTTCCGATCACAATTTTAGTTCAGCTTCTCCCATTCTCGACATAATTTGGAACAATTTTGTACTACAAATAACCTGGCAGGAAAAAATAATCAAAACAAAGAACTCAAGTCATTAATCTGCATTGTTTCCCTCTCAAGGGATAATAACACTTGTGATATGGCAAGAGGCCACAGCTGTAAATTGCCCCATATCTATACTGCACACCTGCTGCATCAGAACAGCACATTTCTGTTCGTAGTGGCACAATCCAAAATTAACTTGCCCTAGCAAGCTCAGTTAAAATCGTGATGTTTAAAAAATGGAGATCCTCACTAGCACTGAGGAGGACACATGAAGTACATAACCTGCTTCTGAGCTTTTAGCATCTTCAGTGGGAGCCTGGTACGTATAAATCCCAGGACTGTTCACATGTTTTACAGTAAACATGGATCAAACCCATCTGGACTT